TGGTGGGAGTGTAAATTAGTTCAACCATTGTGGAAGACAGTGTGGCGATTCCTCAAGGCCTTAGAAATAGAAATTCCATTTGACCCAGCAATCCCATTACTGGGTATATATCCAAAAGACTATAAATCGTTCTACTATAAGGACACATGTACACGAATGTTCATTGCAGCACTGTTTACAATAGCAAAGACCTGGAATCAACCCAAATGCCCATTGATAATAGACTGGATTGGAAAAATGTGGCACATATACACCATGGAATATTATGCAGCAATCAGAAATGATGAGTTCGTGTCGTTTGTAGGGACATGGATGAATCTGGAGAACATCATCCTCAGCAAACTGACACAAGAACAGAAAATGAAACACCGCATATTCTCACTCATAGGTGGGTGATGAAAAATGAGAACACATGGACACAGAAAGGGGAGTACTAAACACTGGGGTCTATTGGGGGGAAAAGGGGAGGGCCAGTGGGAGGGGGAGGTGGGGAGGGATAGCCTGGGGAGAAATGCCAAATGTGGGTGAAGGGGAGAAGAAAAGAAAAGCACACTGTCATGTGAGTACCTACGCAACTGTCTTGCATGCTCTGCTCATGTACCCCAAAACCTATAATCCAATAAAAAATTAAAAAAAAAAAAGACCACTAGATAGTGCATGGAGTATGCAGGGGTTGGAGACAGGCAAAGTGAGAGTAGAAGGATCAGCTACAAGGGTTTTTAATAATCCAAGCAAGAGATGTCTCGAGTGGAAGCAGTGAGGATGGAGAGAAGTGGATTGATTTTGGAGGTATTTTTTCTTATAGAACAGTCAGGCTTGCCATGCCTTGACTTAATTAATGAATGAGTCCACAATGCATCATTACTAAAATGGGGTAATCCAGAGGAGAAAGGTCAGTGTGTGCTGTGGAAGTTAAGGAAGGCTTTCTGGGGGAGGCAGAATGAGAGCTGGGCTTGAGAGATGAGCTAACTACGGCTGGAAAAAAGTGAAACAGTAGGGATCTGATCTTAAAATCAATGAGATAGGAATGAGCTCCCATGTGTTTGGGGGATCTTGAGGAACCTGCCTGCCAATTTGGTGTGGGTATTGGTTGTTGAGGAACAAGCAGGATGACAGAATAGGGTGAGACGGGGAGAGCCTAGATGTAGTAGATTTGGAAAGCCCAGAAGAGTGAACATTGTACCTCCCCTCTACTTAATCCCCAGAAAGCTGTACCATAGGCTTCCTATCAAGCTGACTGACATTGAGCCCTTTCTCCAAGTTTATGTTTGTACCCAGACATTCACCTTATTACCTCCCAAGAGAGGTCCAGTGTGATCACTGACTGCTCAATGACTGGTGGGTCAGTGGGCTGGGAACTGGAACAGGTCCTTGTCACATTCACCATCCCTGGAAGATATGGCAACACCTAACTATAAATGCCTCAGATAACAAGTAAAGTATCCCATAAACTCTGAGCTATGGACGCATCAGTCCATCTCTGCCAAAGGTGGTGAGTTTTTGCCAGAACCAAATGGGAAGCACCTCCAGGGCTGCCTGTCCAACCAACCACCCCCAAAGCAGCAACAGCAACTCCTCTTCCTCTTCCTCCTCCTCCTCCTCCTCCTCCTCCTTCCTCCCACCCCACCCCTTGCCCAGCAGGCTGGCAGCCCAGCCTTTCTTGTCTCCACCAAGGAAGGTGTGTATTCCACAACTCCACGAAAGGACCCCTCTATGCCTGGAGAGGAGACCTGGATTTTAAAATGCCAGACTCTTTAAGAGACCCCATTGAGGTGGTCAAGCTTACATTTCCAGGCCCTGTCACCTCTGTGAGTATAACAGGTACATCCTGCCATGTGCTTCTAGCTCAACTGTGAGCTCTACAAAGGCAGGTATGATGCTATCTCATACCTGCTTGTCCCCAGCAGCTGACATAGTGAGTGTTTAGAATATATTTATTGAACAAATTAACAAATGATTGAACATGATATGAACTTAGGGATTGGACACAAAAACTGCTCAGTGCCTACGTAGCTTCTCTGGAAGTCTGCTCACCACCTCCATGGAAACAACAGTTGCCTTTTACTCAGTTGTGTGTAACAGTGGTAGGCACATTTCCCACATTAGCTCTTTTAATATTCACAACATCCACCTTTTATGGGGAGCATTCTTATCTGCATTTTACTGATGAGGAAACTGAAGGTAAGACAAGTTAAGGTCGCACTGCTAGCAAGAAGCAGAGCCAGGACTCCCATTCAAGGCTCACTGACCCCAAAGCCATAGAGTGCTTCTGTGGGCAAAGTCACTGGAGTCTTCCACCTGCCACTGGGATGGCAATACAGCAACCCTTTAGCTCCCCCTCCCACCTTGGCAGGAAGCCGTTTATCAGATTAACAACCGGCCTGCTCCCCACAGCAGCAACCAGGGCTCTGAGGAAACAGAATTGGGCTGGGCTCAGCCTTCTGTGGGGGTCAAGGACACACAAGGATCTCCCCCTTCCCAGCAGGAGATCCTAATGTATCCTTCAACATCAATGTCAATATGAAAGAATAGGAGCTACATAGAATATGGAGACAGACAGACATGAGTTTGAGTCCTGACAGGCTTTCTGCCCTTGGGCAAGCAGCATAGCCTCTCAAGTCTCAGTTCCTTCAGCTGAAGAATGGTTTCATGACATCTTGGGGGTTACCTTCAGCAATAAATGAGATGGCATGTTTAAGCAGCTCACTCCACAACTGGCACCTAGCAGTGCTTTCAAACAAGTTTTCCTTTCCTCTCAAATAAATAGGGCAACCATTATTGGTCCCGCTTCTCAGATGCACAAACTGAAGTACCAATAGATTGAGTGGCCTACAGCTAGGAGAAGGATGCCATCCCCTAACTCACAAGCCAAAGCTCTTTCTGCTACTTTTTATTTGGCTCCTCAAAAGCAAAAACAGGTTGTTCTCCCCAAAACTGCTGACTTTGCCTTGAATATGTAGTGGTCTTCTTTCTTTCTCCTTGCTCCCCTCCCCCATATTCTTATTTTGCCAGTCTCTTTGCTCACAACTCAGACTGATCATCATAAAGCAATAGAAAGGGGCATGGGCAGAATGGGAGGTAAATATAGTCCTCTCCACAAGCAAGACAAGCCCTCCCTGTTGGTGCAGTCATGACTCACCCCAGGCCTTTTATGAGGGCCAGATGCTGAGCATGTCTGAATTGCTTAGAATTGCTTCGTCTTCACTGTGTTCTGGTTGTGGGGAGAGGAACAACCAACATCTATATATATTTATACATTTACCAGGAAATGTGTTTATATTGTTTTCCAATCAGGTTTTACCACAAGCTGGGAGTTCCACACCTAAAGAGTAGGCCAAACCCAGCCCATTGTCAACAGAGAAAAGTACATCTCAAACATAAAAGATTTCAAATCAAAATGGATATTAGAAGAGCATGATTCTTGTCATTGTCAAACAGCCGGAGTTGTCTTCAACAGCTGACAGAGTAAGTAGTAGTTGTTTTGAGGCTCAGACTTCATCCTGGATACCTTAGGAGCAAGGCAATGAAAGCTTCCAAGGAAGGAAAGCATCTCTTTATAGCCTGCAACTGCTTGACATTCAAGCCTTTGGAAATCCCTAGTGTGGCCACTGACCACTGAGAGCCCATCCCTGAGTTGGCCTACAAGGCAGTAGCCCTGCTTCAACCTGTCTGTTGTTCTGGGGCCACAGCTTGGGTGTTCTCTAAGACAACTTGAACCCAGAGCTCTGGATCTTGGACCCCTCACATCCAGATATTGTTACTTTCTTTTTTTCTTTTTTCTTAAAAAAATTTTTTTTTGTCACTCAGGCTGGGGTGCACTAGCATGATCACAGCTCACTGCAACCTTGAACTCCTGGGCTCAAGCAATCCTCTGCCTCAGCCTCTCAATTAGCGGGAACTACAGCCATGCACCACCCTGCCCAGCTCATTTCCAATTTTTTTGTAGACAGGGTTTTACCATGTTTCCCAGGCTAGTCTCGAAGTCCTGGTCTCAAGGGATCCTCCTGCCTCAGCCTCCCAAAGTTCAGGGTTTACAGGCGTGAGTCACTGCACCCAGCCTAGACATTACATTCTGTAATCTTCAGTCAATATCCAAAATATAACCCTTCTCATTTGTTCTTTCTCACATTCTCAATGCCACACTATTATGTGCCCTCTCCCAAATACCAGCTGCTCTCTTTCCCTGCAAGGCTTTCTGCTGTCCTCATTCCATGGCAAATCAATCCCCTTTGTCCTTCATCTTCCTACAGAATGCTCTCTTCTCATCTTGGCCTCCCTAAGTCCTGGTCATCCCCCAGTCACAGGTGTGACTATCAGCTATCTGTAGTGATGACTTTTTATTCTCTTACACCTGTGTATCTACCTGAGTCAGCAGATTAGGCCTGCAGGTAGGGTCAGTGTTCTCACACACTCCTGTGCTCCTCTAGATCATTACTTTCCTCCCCCAGGGAATCGCCTTAGGGATCACACCATCTGGCTACACCAGCTTCCCTGTATTTTGTGTCTCCTGCCATATTCCTGGAGTCCAGTGTGCAGGAGGAGGACTCTCCCAGGCCACGCCTTGCCCTCCTTATATTGAATGACCCTCATCTCCCTTCCATATCCATCACCCACTGCCACAGCCACAGCCACATTATCGGGTTTTTAATCCCTCTGAGATCACTAGTCAGTTGATCCCTCCTCCTTCTCCCAGCCTATCATCCCCCAAACAGGATTCTCTCCTTTCCAACCTAGCTTAAACTATTATCTCACCCATACCCTCCATGCCTGGTACCAATATTCTGCTGCTCCCCAACCTCCTGCACCATGTTCCATTTGCCTTCTCCTTTCTGCACTGGTAGCAGGGAGCCAGACCGGGAGATTCCTGGGCAGAAAAGCACCACGAATCTCAACACTGCTGTTTCAGCCAGCGCAGTGGGTCACCGCAGGGGAAATTACACAGATTCCGGCAGCTTTTTAGCAGGCGACTGGGAGAGAGTCAACTGTTCAACTAAAAAAAAAAAAGAAGAAGTAGAGGCTCTTAGACAGGGAGCCAGGTGATCAAGCTCAGTTGGTCCCACCCCCACAAAAAAACAGCAATTGGAAGCACCGAGGATTGAGAGTTTCACAGCAAGCACAGCTGAACCCGGGAAGGTCCAGCTCTGTGGGGGAGGGCATCCACTGAAGGAAAACTAAGAAACAGAAAAAAACTTCACCACCAACAAGCTGGACGTCCACTCAGAGACCTAATCTGAAAGTTAGCAATTACAAAGATGACAAGTGGATAAATTCACAAAGATGGGAAGAAACTAGTGCAAAAAGGCTGAAAACACCCGAAATCAGAATGTCTCTCCTTCTACAGGGGATCACAGCTACTCATCAGCAACAGAACAAGGCCTGATGGAGAATAAGTGTGATGAATTGACAGAATCAGGCTTCAGAAGGTGGATAATAAGAAACTTCTGTGAGCTAAAAGAACATGTTATAACCCAATGTAAAGAAACTAAGAACCTTGAAAAATGGATTGACAAAATGCTAACCAGGATAAACAATTTAGAGAGGAAAATAAGTGAATTAATGGAGCTGAAAAACACAATACGAAAACTTCGCAAAGTATGCACAAGTTTTAGCAGTCAAATTGATCAAGCAGAAGAAAGGATATCAGAGGTCGAAGACCAACTTAATGAAATAAAATGAGAAGACAAGTTTAGAGAAAAAAGGGTAAAAAGGAATGAGCAAAGTCTCCAAGAAATATGGGACTATGTGAAAAGACCTAATCTACATTTGATAGGTGTACCTGAATGTGACAAAGAGAATGAATCCAAGCTGGAAAATATTCTTCAGGATATTATCCAGGAAAACTTTCCCAACCTAGCACGGCAGGATAATACTCAACTCCAGGTAATACAGAGAACACCACGAAGATATTCCTCAAGAAAAGCAACCCTAAGGTACATAATTGTTAGATTCACCAGGGTTGAAATGAAGGAGAAAATAACTAAGGGCAGCTAGAAAGAAAGGTCAGGTTACCCACAAAGGGAAGCCTATCAGACTTACAGCAGATCTCTCAGCAGAAACCCTACAAGCCAGAAGAGAGTGGGGGCCAATATTCAACAACCTCAAAGAAAAGAACTTTCAACCCAGAATTTCATATCCAGCCAAACTAAGCTTCATAAGGGAAGGAAAAATAAAATTTTTTGTGAAAAAGCGAGTACTCAGAGATTTCATCATCACCAGGCCTGCTTTACAAGAGCTTTTGAAAGAAGCATTACACATAGAAAGGAACCAGTATCAACCATTCCAAAAACATACCTAAAGGTAAAGAGTATCACCATGATGAAGAATCTACATCAACTAATGGGCAAAACAACCAGCTGGCATTAAAAGGCAGTATTAAACTCACATATATCAATATCAATCCTAAATTTAAATGGACTAAATGCCCCAATCAAAAGACACAGACAGGCAAATTGGATAAAAAGCCAAAACCCATTGGTATGCTGCATCCAGACCCATCTCACATGCAAGGATACACAAAGACTCAAAACAAAAAAAGGATGAAGATTTACTAACCAAATGGAGAGAGAGAAAAAAAAAGTAGGAGTTGCAATTCTCGTCTCTGATAAAATAGACTTTAAAGCAACAAAGACCAGAGAGCGAGGAAAAAGATGGCGGCAGTGGCGGTTGGGAGTGCTGGTGGGAGCTGCGTGTCCAGCGGGATGGACCTGAATTGCGTCCCTGAAATAGCTGACACACTAGGGGCTGTGGCCAAGCAGGGGTTTGATTTCCTCTGAATGCCTGTCTTCCATCCACGTTTCAAGAGGGAATTCATTCAGGAACCTGCTAAGAATCAACCGGGCCCCCAGACACGATCAGACCTACTGCTGTCAGGAAGGGACTGGAATACACTAATTGTGGGAAAGCTTTCTCCATGGATTTTTCCAGACTCAAAAGTGGAGAAGATTTGCAGAAACTCCGAGGCACCCATGTTACAGGAGCTGAATTTTGGTGCATATTTGGGTCTTCCAGCTTTCCTGCTGCCCCTTAATCAGGAAGATAACACCAATCTGGCCAGAGTTTTGACCAACCACATCCACACTGGCCCCCACTCTTCCATGTTCTGGATGCGGGTACCATTGGTGGCACCAGAAGACCTGAGAGATGATATAATTGAGAATGCACCAATTACACACACACAGGAGTACAGTGGGGAGGAGAAGACATGGATGTGGTGGCACAACTTCCAGACTTTGTGTGACTACAGCAAGAGGATTGCAGTGGCTCTTGAAATTGGGGCTGACCTCCCATCTAATCATGTCATTGATCGCTGGCTTGGGGAGCCCATCAAAGCAGCCATTCTCCCCACCAGCATTTTCCTGACCAATAAGAAGGGATTTCCTATTCTTTCTAAGATGCACCAGAGGCTCATCTTCCGGCTCCTTAAGTTGGAGGTGCAGTTCATTATCACAGGCACCAACCACCACTCAGAGAAGGAGTTCTGCTCCTACCTCCAATACTTGGAATACTTAAGCCAAAACCGTCCTCCACCTACTGCCTATGAACTCTTTGCTAAGGGCTATGAAGACTATCTGCAGTCTCTGCTTCAGCCACTGATGGGCAATCTGGAATCTCAGACATGTGAAGTGTTTGAAAAGGACCCCATCAAATACTCTCAGTACCGGAAGGCCATCTATAAATGTCTGCTAGACCAAGTACCAGAAGAGGAGAAGGATACCAATGTCCAGGTATTGATGGTGCTGGGAGCAGGACAGGGTCCCCTGGTGAACGCTTCCCTGTGGGCAGCCAAGCAGGCTGACCAGCGGATAAAGCTGTATGCCGTGGAGAAAAACCCAAATGCTGTGGTGACGCTAGAGAACTGGCAGTTTGAAGAATGGGGAAGCCAGGTGACTGTAGTCTCATCAGACATGAGGGAATGGGTGGCTCCAGAAAAAGCAGACATCATTGTCAGTGAACTTCTGGGCTCATTTGCTGACAGTGAGTTGTCACCTGAATGCCTGGATGGAGCCCAGCACTTCCTAAAAGATGATGGTGTGAGCATCCCTGGGGAGTATACTTCCTTCCTGGCTCCCATCTCCTCCTCCAAACTGTACAATGAGGTCCGAGCCTATAGGGAGAAGGATCATGACCCTGAGGCACAGTTTGAGATGCCTTATGTGGTATGGCTGCACAACTTTCACCAGCTATCTGCACCCCAGCCCTGTTTCACCTTCAGCCATCCCAACAGAGATCCTATGATTGACAACAACCGCTATTGTACCTTGGAGTTTCCTGTGGAAGTGAACACAGTACTGCATGGCTTTGCTGGCTACTTTGAAACTGTGCTTTATCAGGACATCACTCTGAGTATCCATCCAGAGACTCACTCTCCTGGAATGTTCTCATGGTTTCCCATTCTCTTCCCTATTAAGCAGCCCATAACGGTGCATGAAGGCCAGACCATCTGTGTGCGTTTCTGGCAATGCACCAATTCCAAGAAGGTGTGGTATGAGTGGGCTGTGACAACACCCATTTGTTCTGCTATTCACAACCCCACAGGCTGCTCATATACCATTGGCCTCTAGCCCTGCATGCAAGTGCCCAGAGCCTTGGAAGCAGCTTCAGGTTCTGCTCCTGTAGCACAGAAGGTGCAGTACATCTATGGGCTGTGATTCCCCTTGCCCATTAGAGAGAAGTGTTTCAATCTGCTTTCCTGCCTTACATCAAGGTGGGCAAGGGATTATAATTAATTGCAGGACTCAAGCCACCAATCTGAAGACTTCAGGCCAGGGGGTGAGGAATTAGTATTGGATTTGAAGCTATGCACAGCCTCAAGAGCTCCCTGGAATATCCCTGAGAACATGGGATTTGAACAGAATTTCAGCCCTTCTCTGTTCTTGTTTTGATGGTTTTGTGTAAGAGGAAATAGAAATAAAGTTATAGCCCTTTCCTGCACTTAAAAAAAAAAAAAGCAACAAAGACCAAAAGAGACAAAGAACATTACATAACGGTAAAAGAATCAATGCAACAAGAAGACTTAACGATCTTAAATATATATGTACCCAATACAGGAGCACCCAGATACATAAGGCAAGTTCTTAATGACTTACAAAGAGACTTAGACTCCCACACAATAATAGTGGGAGACTTTAACACTATATTGTCAATATTAGACAGATCAATGGGACAGAAAATTAATAAGGATATCCAAGACTTGAACTCAGACCTGGAACAAGTAAACTTAATAAACATTTACAGAACTGTCCACCCCAAATCCATGAAACATACATTTTTCTCAGTATCACATCACACCTATTCTAAAAGTAACCACAAAATTGGAAGTAAATCACTCCTCAGCAATTGCATAGCATTTCACAGGTTTAAATGAAATATTGGTTGGCTTGTTTGTTATCTTCCTCCCTTATTCCTTCCTGTCTTCACTGTTAAGCACACTTATTGGCATAAAAGAGGTTTTTAATATCCATTTTTAGACTGCATTCTAGCCTGGGCAATAGAGCAAGATTTCTGTTCTCTCTCCCTCTTTCTCTTCCTCTTTCTTTCTTTCATTCTTAAAAAAAAGAGAGAGAGAGAGAGAAATAGATCAGTAAAATAAAATAGAAAATCCACAATCAATAGAGTAAAACAATAAAAGTTACCATGATGCACATGAAAGTCCAATTTATTAGGAAAGAAAGTTGACTTTTTTTATGATGTACAGTGTGATCTTTTGATATACATTGTGAAATGGCAAAATCGAGCTAATTAGCATACTTATTACCTCACATACTTATCATTTGTTTTTGTAATGAGAATATTTAAAACCGCCACACTTAGTCATTTTCAAGAATACAGGCCATGGCTAGATGTGGTGGCTCACACCTGTAATCCCAGCACTTTGGGAGGCCGAGCCACGAGGATTGCTTGAGTCAAGGAGTTAGAGACCAGCCTGGGCAACTCAGCAAGACCCTGTCTCTAGTTAAAATTTAAATTTAAAAAAAGACACTTATAGCCAGGCACGGTGGCTCACACCTGTAATCCCAGCATTTTGGTAGGCCAAGGCGGGCAGATCACCTAAGATCAGAGCTCGAGACTAGCCTGGCCAACATGGTGAAATCCCGTCTCTACTAAAAATACAAAAATTAGCTGGGCTTGGTGGCAGGCACCTGTAATCTCAGCTACTCAGGAGGCTGAGACAGGAGAATCGTTTGAACCCAGGAGGCAGAGGTTGCAGTGAGATAAGATCACGCCACTGCATTCCAGCCTGGGTGAGAGGAGCAAAACTCCATCTCAAAAAAAAAGAGAAAGAGAGAAGAAGGGAAATAGAAGTGGGGAGGTAACCAGCAAATGCCCCCTACACAGCAGGGGTGTGAAGCACCCAGAACTGGAGAACCAGGTCACAGTCAAGCTGAGACCTGAAAGAGAGAAAGGAGTTAACAGGAAAAGAGGAGTAGAAGACATTCTGGGCATAGGAAACAAAGGTACAAAGCTTGGAGGTAACAGATAATATAATGCATGCAAGAACTGCTAGTATTTCAGTATGCCTAGAGGTGACAAGAGAACATGCTGAGTTGAGTAAACAAAGAGCAGACAAGGATTGTGAGCTCTTTGGTGTTGGGATGGAATTTATATCTCCTAGGCAGTTTAACACAGGCTTCAGATAAACAGACCTGGGATCGAGTTCAAATCCCAACTCTGTCCATCAATGATTTTGGACAGCCTCTCTGAGCTTTAGTTTTTTTATGTCTAATTTTATAACCTATAAAATACAGCTATTAATAGCTCTTTTTCAGAGTTGTTGGAGGGTTATACAACAGGTTATATGTATGGCCTCTGACATATAGATAGTCTGGATAAAAAATAGCTGTTATTATTATTTATATCAGTGCTTCTTTCAGGCCTGCCATCCCTGCCCTCAGAAACCAAACAACCTAAGTAGTGTCAGTAAACATTTATAGACTGAAGGACTGGCATCCCCTGTGAATCAGTCTTGCCCCTGTACCTAGCTCCATATTCCAGCAACCCCTTAATCCCTGGCCCCTGTTCTGCAGTGTCTTCCTCAATCTCATAGTGCTCACAACAGCCAAGAAGCACCCAAAGCATATATCAAAAGACTGGGACATCAGGCTGTTGGGCCTGCAGAGATGATTTGACTCTATTCCATAGTGGACTCTGGCTGGCAGGTCCTGAAATGACACAGCAACCACTGCTCAGGAGGGACCAAGAGAAAAAGAAGGACACAGCTGCCTGAGGAAGATTAGAGGAAAGCTTGGCTGAGTCAGACATCCAAAAAGTGGTTTTTGTTGGCTCCTCCAGAACCCAGGAGACTAACTCTTGCTGGCATATATTCTGGGACTTCAGCACCCCTTTGAGGGCATTTGGAAGTGAAAAGGGTCACCATATCTGAAGGTCTGTACATCAAATCTGTCACTCACTATCTCCCCAGGGGCTGAAGGCCTTTAGGTGTCTCTATTCAGAAGCTGCTGGACACAGATCTTTTTCAGGTGCTCCTAAAGGATCTAGGGAATTGGTAGGTATTGACCACATTATATCTGCCTGATCATCAGTGTACACAGTGCATAAGAACTTGTACATGGAGGCCAGGCATGGTGGCTCATGCCTGTAATCCCAGCAGTTTGGGAGGCCAAGGTGGGAAGATCACTTGAGGTCAGGAGTTTGAAACCAGCTTGGCCAACATGGCAAAACCCCATCTTTACTAAAAATACAAAAATTAGCTGGGTGTGATGGTGCATACCTGTGATCTCAGCTACTCAGGAGGCTGAGGTGGGAGGATTACTCGAATCTGGGAGGTGGAGGTTGCAGTGAGCCAAGATCACACCACTGTACTCCAGCCTGGGCAGCAGAGACTCTGTCTCAAAAAAAAAAAAAAAAGGAACTCTCACAGAACTGGGCTTGAACCTCAGCTCTGCTACTCCATGTGTGACCTTGGGCAAGGTACTTTACATCCTCATCCTCAATTTTCTCATCTGTAAAATGGAGATGGCAATGCTGAGAGTTAAATAAGAAAAAATATGTGAAGTGTGGCCAGGTGGGGTGGTCCATGACTGTAATCCTTGCACTTTGGGAGGCAAAGCCAGGTGGATCACTTGAGGTCAGGAGTTCAAGACCAGCCTGCCCAACATGATGAAACCTCATCTCTACTAAAAATATAAAAATTAGCCAGGTATGGTGGCATGTGTCTGTAATCCCAACTACTTGGGAGACTGAGGCAGAAGAATTGCTTGAACCCAGGAAGCAGAGGTTTCAGTGAGCCAAGATCATGGTCCACTGAGCCCAGGCAACAGAAAGAGACTCCATCTCAAAAAAAAAATGTATATATATATATATACACACACACACACACACACAAATATATATATATGTATATATATGCAAAGTGCTAAAGATGAACATCCTTTATAAATATTAGTTCCTTTCCTTCCACTGATGCAATCAGGCTTTTTTTTTTTTTTTAATTTTTTATTGGATTATAGGTTTTGGGGTACATGAGCAGAGCATGCAAGACAGTTGCGTAGGTACTCACATGACAGTGTGCTTTTCTTTTCTTCTCCCCTTCACCCACATTTGGCATTTCTCCCCAGGCTATCCCTCCCCACCTCCCCCTCCCACTGGCCCTCCCCTTTTCCCCCCAATAGACCCCAGTGTTTAGTACTCCCCTTTCTGTGTCCATGTGTTCTCATTTTTCATCACCCACCTATGAGTGAGAATATGCGGTGTTTCATTTTCTGTTCTTGTGTCAGTTTGCTGAGGATGATGTTCTCCAGATTCATCCATGTCCCTACAAACGACACGAACTCATCATTTCTGATTGCTGCATAATATTCCATGGTGTATATGTGCCACATTTTTCCAATCCAGTCTATTATCAATGGGCATTTGGGTTGATTCCAGGTCTTTGCTATTGTAAACAGTGCTGCAATGAACATTCGTGTACATGTGTCCTTATAGTAGAACGATTTATAGTCTTTTGGATATATACCCAGTAATGGGATTGCTGGGTCAAATGGAATTTCTATTTCTAAGGCCTTGAGGAATCGCCACACTGTCTTCCACAATGGTTGAACTAATTTACACTCCCACCAACAGTGTAAAAGTGTTCCTTTTTCTCCACATCCTCTCCAGCATCTGTTGTCTCCAGATTTTTTAATGATCGCCATTCTAACTGGCGTGAGATGGTATCTCAATGTGGTTTTGATTTGCATCTCTCTGATGACCAGTGACGATGAGCATTTTTTCATATGATTGTTGGCCTCATATATGTCTTCTTTCGTAAAGTATCTGTTCATATCCTTTGCCCACTTTTGGATGGGCTTGTTTGTTTTTTTCCTGTAAATCTGCTTGAGTTCTTTGTAAATTCTGGATATCAGCCCTTTGTCAGATGGGTAGACTGCGAAAATTTTTTCCCATTCTGTTGGTTGCCAATCCACTCTAGTGACTGTTTCTTTTGCCGTGCAGAAGCTGTGGAGTTTGATTAGGTCCCATTTGTCTATTTTGGCTTTTGTTGCCAATGCTTTTGGTGTTTTGTTCATGAAGTCCTTGCCTACTCCTATGTCCTGGATAGTTTTGCCTAGATTTCCTTCTAGGGTTTTTATGGTGCCAGATCTTATGTTTAAGTCTTTAATCCATCTGGAGTTAATTTTAGTGTAAGGTGTCAGGAAGGGGTCCAGTTTCTGCTTTCTGCACATGGCTAGCCAGTTTTCCCAACACCATTTGTTAAACATGGAATCCTTGCCCCATTGCTTGTTTTTGTCAGGTTTATCAAAGATTGTATAGTTGTATGTATGTTGTGTTGCCTCCGGTGCCTCTGTTTTGTTCCATTGGTCTATATCTCTGTTTTGGTACCAGTACCATGCTGTTTTGATTACTGTAGCCTTGTAGTATAGTTTGAAATCCGGTAGTGTGATGCCCCCCGCTGTGTTCTTTTTGCTTAGAATTGA